ATCTGGAACGATGAATAATCTCAATGGCAAATGATTACATCCTCGAAGAGTGACTTTCTAATCTGACACACAAAGACAATAGACTAAAATATGATACAAGTGAGGCAAATAAAAACAATTGATTCATTTTTGGTTTACAGAACAGTATGACGCACCTTCAAAAACGTTGCCTAATTCTCAGCCGAGAACATCGTAAGTAACCAGACTCCGTTTTCATGCTCTGTTGTGCAGTTACTTAAAGAAACTGGAATGAATTAAAAATTGGTGTGTTTGATATTTCCAAAGATTAAAGTTTTATCCATCTTATTTTTCTCAGAAAATGTCATTGGAGGGAGTTTTCATCAACAGAAAGGTTATCGTTTTATGATTAGAATGACTGTGTTTAAAAAACTACTATTAATGTACCTGGCTGTGTTTTTTTGCTCTGTTAATCTGTGGCTGCTTCATATTTTGTCACACTTAGCACAGTTTGAACTATTAATAGTGCATTAAACTGACATAAACTGTAAAGGAAACAAAATCTGCTCCATTCTGCATTTAAGTTTTGAGGCCTATGAGGATTAGTAAAGCTACAGGTACAAAAATTGTGAAAAGCAGAGGTGAAATTTTAGAGAGATCATATAAGGTACTACCCTCTTGAATCATTTTCTTGATATTGTGCAAGGAAAACTTTCCTGAAAAGTGTTGTTCTTTGTTTTACCTTTATTAAAAAAGAAAAATTGCTGTCTTTCTAACACCCTCAGTTTATATTTCTCTCTCTAAAAATTAAGAAGAATATTTGTGTTAAAACTGATTTTTAAAACCTTGGTTCTCTAATAACGTTAGCCATGTGCAGAGAGGGTGAAGATGAAATTTCTCTAGCTTCTCTGGCACTTTACATATTTCTTCTTTTCCCTAATTGTTTTATGTTTTCTGTGAAAAGCAGGTGACTTATAATTTGAGTCTCAAGATGAGCCTGCTTATGAACTGCTTATGCATGTTTATGTATAATTAGTGCAGCAGTTTTATACAGCACAATTTCAGTTCACGAGTATAGTCTTACTGGCCCATGAAACTATTAAGGCTGAGCGGGACCTGTTTGTGAATGCAACTCGGAGGATGAAAGAAAAATGTAGCTTTTCAGGTGGAGCGGGGAGGAGGAAATGGAAATTGCACCTTCCCCCCCAAAAAACACTGAAAAGCTCTCTTTGCTAGTAGCTTTCTTTTTTTAATTAGGGCACCCTTATTCTTCAGAGCATTTAACCGAAGGAGATGTGCTTTCAGAAGTGTCCTGTCACGCCACCGAAAAAGAGCTAGGTTATAGACTGGAAAATGCTATTTTCTAAACTTTCCAAAATCTTACCGCACTTTGCTGGTGCACAGTAGCCAATGCTTTATATTTCCTCTTGCTCTTGTCGTGGTGTCATAGATGTGATGAGGCTCATTGATAGTAATGGAGCGATTCAGAGTTGCACGGCTCCAGTCCCGCGGAGCACATTGTGAGACTGCGATCTCGGGATCTAGGTGTGCAGGGATTCATTCTGTCCTGGGGAGTTGCTACAAACTGTTCTTTTTGTAGAGGAAGTTGGGGGGCAGCAGCAAGTAGGGGATCTTCAAGGTTTTCAGAAGCTCTTGCTGTAGATTGAACTCTTCCTGCCGAAGGACTTTTGCTGTAAATCTTGGAATAACATTTTGAAAATCATTTTCTTAATGCTTCAGTGTGTAAAGGATTGGCCAGAAAAGACAGGAAAGGAATAATAAACTAATAAATTTCTATTAGAGTGAATCACTTATAAGTTGGTGGAGAAGATTTGTAATGGCAATAAATTACTTGGTACCGTCCTAGTAGGTGAAAGTGGTTATCTATTAATTAGGTTAATTACAGGAATTGCTTGAAAGTAGTTTTGTGTGGGCTGAATTTTAAGCTTTCAAGATTAACCTGACCAGATGGCAGCATTGATAGATTGTGAGCCTTGAATAACAAATATAAATCTTTCTGAGTGTATAAGGCTAAGTGGTCCATATGCAAGGCAATTGCTGAATCATTAAACGCCTATCAGTTAATGTGATGTATAAAGATCTCCTGTTACTTCGTACAGTGATATTGTACCATGGAAGACTGCAAACTACCGACTACAGAGATGCACCACTTCTTTTTTTTTTTTTTTTTTTGACTTTTCCACCATCATGAACAATTTAATAAAAGAAAAACTGGAATAGCCGTAAGCAAGAAGGACAGAATCTGGCCATCTCAGTTGAGTTTGTAGGACTTTATGTTCAAGTTCTGTAAGATTTGTTAAGTCTCTTGCAGTGCGGTGCAAAGGCTCGCCAGCTGGCTGGCGCTGAGCAGTCGCTGGCTCCCCTAACGCTTTCCTTTGTTCTTCTGTGCCCCCCAGTCTGCTCCTCTTGAATGATTTCTTGAGATTTTCCTTTCACTGATAAAAATACTGGTTTCTCTTGCTCCAGGCTCTGTCTTCCCCCTCAGCCACCCTGCACCGACGATCTTTCTTCTTTGGCTCTTCTGTGGTGTATCTGTGACAGCTGAAATGTCTCCTCCAAACACTGCAAATGGAGACGAGTTCAGAGCATCTGTGTGGAGGCAGGAGCCTGATAATGTTTTTAGATCAGCCAAAGAGGACCAGGGCTGTTCTCTCATTAGATCAATACCGATTTGCTGCTGCAGGAAGGAAGAGTGCCACGCGAGGTCAGGGAACCATGGAGCAGTGAAAGCCACAAGTATCCTGCCCTGACTTTTTGGCCTTGGGAGTAACCTATTCCTGGAGTGCCAACACCATTTTTCATAGATGCAGATTGTGCACTTGCTTAAGCAAATGTTATTGTTGCTCAAGCAACTGATTTTGTTTTCATGGGGAAATTTTTCCTGTCCCCTGCCGCTGCCACCCGAAAAAAACCCTGCAGCGCTTTCATCAGGTGACCTGGCGCCAGAGGCAGAAGAGCCTTTAGCATAGATAAGAAACTTAAAATACTCCTTTCCTAGCCCAAATGGCTGGAATTGTGAAATTGGCCATAGAAATTGGTACCTCCACTAGCGTCCCCTCCACCCTTGGCACACCAGCGGTGCCTGGAGAAAGGTTGCACAAATGTCCTTTTTGTGCTGAGACAAAGCTCACCCAGGCTTGCTGAAATGGTCCTTAATGTTTCTTAGCTTCCGAGTGAAATGGCTTCTGGCGTGCAGGGCGGGCGTCTCCTGACCAGGCTTTAGAAGCCCCGGGCAGAACTTCCCACAGGATAATTTTGGGTAGCGTCTCCTCGAGACTGGAGACTGCCGTGGGGGACGTTTCCTTTGAGCTAAAAACAAACCCAGTTCCTCTGGGGCTGAACCTGTGGAAGACGCGAGGCAGCTCGAGCGAGGGAGCTGGAGCGTGTTTGCTGCCCTGCGCCTTCCCCCCCCGGGCTTCGGCTCAGCGACCGCTGCCATCCGCGAGGGGCAGCCGGGAAAGCTGTTTAGCCGGGCCCAGGTGGGCAAGGGGAGTCGGTGGCAGCTGTCTGCCTGCTGAGCCCTGCCAGCCCGCTGCGGTCGCTGAACCCCAGTCTTTGCTGCCTTCTCCCAACGGAGAGCGGCACCTATCCCTGAGCAAGTAAGTTCTGGGTGCCCAGCACGCTTGGCGTAAGCGGGAATAGCGACGGGAAGTTGAAGGCAGTGAAAATTCACTGGCGCCTGGCTGCCTTCCCAGACTAGCCCTCCTCGAGCTGTAGCGGGAGCCCGGGGGCCCTGACCCCGTCCTGGAATGCCCAGTGCTAAACGGGCTTGTCCTAACGCTGACTTTCGTTAGCGTTTCAGAGGCAGCCCTCGGCTACTCGCGACCTACCTGTGCCCAATCGACAAAGGCAGTTTGAGCAAGAGGAACACGGTGGTTTAGGTTTATGTCCAAAACGGAATGAAGGGAGATTTGCCCAAAGACTTCCTCTGCGTCTCTTCCTTGAACTCATGTATCTCTTATTTTTCGCTTTGTTTTTGTTTTCGTTTGTACAAGAGGGCTTGCTTTCTTTGCTGTTCAAAACGCACATGACTGCCTGAAAATTCAGCTGCCTAGAGTAGCTCATGTTACAAAGCGTAGTTGACTGAAAACAAACAGCATTTGTGCTGGTTAATTAGAGGTTGAAATCCCTGTGCATGTGTGTGCCCAAATTAAGCATTCAGCTTTAGAGAACATGCAAGGATTTCCCAGCTGGCTTTCATTCTTGAATACAGCCCCTAAGTTAGCACCTGGCTTCACTGGAATGGAAGTGGCCTTTCTTTGAAAAAGGGGAGATGCCAGGCTCAGCCTTGGTAATGCGTCTTTAACCCGGCTGGCAGAGAGGGACCAGCTTGTGCTTTCCGTGGGGCTGTTTGTCTGGCGAGCTGTATTAATTTTAGAATTGCTTCTCTCCCTTCTTAATAGATTTGCAGCGAGATTGATGGTGTATACATAAGCTGCAAGTCCTGCAAATGAACACTTGGCGTTTATTAACTCTTGCGCTAATTAAAGCATTAAAATTATTAAAGCAGGTTTATTTTCTTTGCCAAGGCTCTTCAACAGTTTGTTGAAGCCTTAATTTTGGGAAACTGGCTTTGTTTATCCGTGCGAAAGTATGACTCACTTGAAGCTTTAGTGTCCTTTCTTGGTCCTGAATTGAACAGCTTAAGAAGTTGCAATGTTCTTGCACTCTGGTGCTTTTTATCGGCCAACAGCTCAGGTGAAAAAGGCATTCCTTTTGATTACAAACAATTGAGTCGCATTTAAAACAAAATCTACGTTGGGTTTCCTTGCATCACCCTCGCAGCTCTAAAGAAAGTGAATCTGTAGCCCAGAATTTTTACAACAAAGCAAAACGGAACCAGAAGAAAGTGCTCAAAACATTTTTAGGATTTTTTGGCGTCACTTGGACGGTTGTTTAAATTAATGGGCAGACTGGGACCTGGGCCTTGCAGTCAGTAACGCGTTGTCAAGTGCTCTGCTTCTAAGTGGCCCCAAGGCTACGGTCATTACCACCTCTGAAGGAGTACCTCCCTCAGAGGGTCTGAATCAAAGAGTCCATTGAGATCCCCGCGGACCTGTGGGGAGACTGCCGAGAAGCGTGGACCTGTCTCGGTGGAACGGCTCTGAGCGTCAGCGTTAGCCCACGAGCGAAGGCAGCGTGTATAGGATTGCTGCAGACTGTATGCCGTTTGCCTTCTGTAGGTAATTCAGGAAACGGGGCGTTCCAAGGTGGTGTCTCTTAGCACCTGCCTTTACTGCGTGCTCTAAAAGAAGAGGCAAAAGGTGATTTCCGCAGCGAAGATGCGTGCGAAAACGAGGCTGTGTAGGCTGGGAGATGGGAGACGATAGCCACAGGGGAACGGCACAGTCGAATGCCGGGACAAAGAATGCCTGTAGCTCGCTGAGCGCCTGGTCCGAGAGAGCCCGCGGGGCACGGAGAGCGCTTTGTGCGGCAGTAGGATTTAATCGAGGGCTGTAGGGTCGGCACCTTCCCTGGAGGCAGTGCCTGCACAAGGAGGCTGGCTTTGTCCTGGTGGGCAGAGCAGACCTTCTGCGGTTTCTGTGGGCTGTCTTGCTCCATGTACGAGAGCGTTGATCCAAACCTCGATCTCCAGTAAACTCTGACTCATATGGGAATCTTGTAGAAACGTATACTTTTGAACCCTTTTTTTTTTTTTCTTTTTTCCTTGGACTGTGCTGTAGCTGCTGCGTGAGCATGTTTCAACAAAACACTTAGTAATTGGAAAAATAACCTCAATAAGGATTTATTACGCTGCTGGTGGTAAAGTGCAAGTAGTTATCCCTCTCCTTTGGAGGGAAGGGAAGACAAAGGCACTTGCATTTGACTCCCAGTTATTATTTTGGTACCGTGACATAAGTCACCTTTGCATTTTGTCCCAAGTTTTGAGGGGCTTATAACTTCAAAATAAAATGCATGCAGAAGAGCGTTGCTATCTAGTCAGTCTCTTGGCAGTTTCCAGGCCAACCTTGTCTCCTTTGGAAAGGAAATGTGCCAAAGCGTTACATCCTACAAAAAAAGGATGCAACATCGAGCAAATTTGTATTAACGTTTTAAATAAAAGGATTAGATGAAAATATATATATATATATATTTTTTTTTTTTTGTAAGGAAAAAAGCTTCTCTATTTTTTTGGTCTTCCAAACGGAGAACCTTAAAGTGCAATGAACAGTGAGCAAATACGAAAGAGCTTACTTTCAGGCACAGTAACGTTCAAGCCCGTCATTAAACAAACGTTTAAAAAGAAAAGGGAAATCTAAACAGGCAACATAAGTAATAACGGATTAAATTGGACAGTTGAAGTTCGTTGGCTTAACAATACAAGATGAGAGGGGTGACAGCGATGTAGTGAATGGAGCAGCGTTTGAGCGTTGTTTTTCCAAAAGACTAGAGATTCGGGACGTTCTCATTAGTGGACATTCGGTTGCAGGCACCAATTCCTGATTTTCATAGCAAGGATCTACAGCGCTTCCTAAAATCAAGGTCTTTAAAAGCAACAACAACTTGTAGGTATCGGAAGCTGTCCTTTCAGAGGGTTCTAGTGTTACTATTTTAAATGCTCTTCTTCTGTAGAGGCATCCACAGTAACATACATACTTTATGAAAGAAGGAAGTAGAGAACTGCCTAGTTCAGAACGGTTCGCACTGGAGTAGGTAGTAGTGCGGGTGCCGGAGCCTGCTCGCAGGTCTGCCCCTGCGCAGAGCAGTGCTAGCTGTGCAGCGCCAGTGTGAAGGAGGCACGTTTCGCAGGGATTTGTCTGCCTGCGGACAAGGGATGGATTTCACGGGCCGCAAGCATGCTCTCGTAGTCAACCAGTCCAGCTTGATTTCTCTCTTGTCGTTTCTGGCATGTGAGCGTAGGTGGGTGTCGAGTTCCCTGCACAGCTCCGTTTCGGTTTCGTCATCTTGCTTTAGGGGAGGTTGAGGTGCCCTAGCAAGCAGGTGCTTTACCTTCTGTATGAGCACAAGTCTCTTGGAGGGTTTTCTGTTTACAGCTTTCAAGTAGCAGGAAATAACTAACTGTATTTTCCATTGCTTTAAGGGGGCTGTGCTCTGTCCTGAGATAGTGGAGGAGGAGGGTTTGCTAGTCATGTTGAAAGGATAGAAAGGAAATCAACATAAAAGAGGCAACAAAATAAACCTTCTGAATAATTGCTCGAGTCTATTCTCTGTTCATTCTGTATGTGTAATTTCCATTAGCACTAATAGGAATGACGTGGCTTTCTGTTTTAAAGGGAAGATAGAGCCTTTCTTTTGAATTATGGCCCTTCAACTTGGTGCTTGGAAAGCCTAATGGGTACTGAGAGAGAGCCTAAGTTGCTGTTCAATCCTGAGCACCAATTACTGACTGCTAAAATAGATGTTATCCCTTGACCAACAAGCCAATTGCTCTTACAATTAAATTTGGATTTGGGATTCCTTGCTCCTGTGTGTGGAGTTGTTGTTCACTGTGAGACCGTTGCCAGCTTTGACACCAGACGTGGTCATTTTTCAGTGAAAGCATCGCCTTGGGCTTTAACTGCTTTGGTATGAGTGTAAAATCATTTGTCTAATTAGTGGGGATAGTGGCTAAATAGGGGAAACGCTGCCTTTTTATTCAAGGCTTTTACTACTCTGTTGTCACAGAATCATAAAAGCGAATGGCTTGAATTCATTAGAGGTGACCTGCAGAGCTGTGAATCTTTTTCGCTTTGTTCACAACATGAAATGAAGGCTTGAAAGAGTTTGAGGTTTTTCTGGTTTGTTTGGTTTTTATTTTGCTAATAAGCATCAAGAACGCTAACTCTCTTTCTCCCCACTTCTGCTGGGCGATGTGGTTTCCTGGGGATTTTTCATATTTGTTCTCTTGCAATAAAAGGTGTTGTTATGAAAGGCTGGAGGCTGATTCTTCTTTTGGGGCATAAGAAGAATTTCTCAGAGAGTCATTAGTTCAAACTGAGGTTGGAATAAACTGAGCTTTGGCCTGAATAGTTAAAAACCCTGTCCCGGCTCCCAAGGTTTTTGTCTCATTTTTTGAAACGTCACTTGTATAGTTCTCTGGATTGAGTGCTTGATCTCAAGATAGTTTTGAAATTTGAATTGCTGGGCTTTTAAATTAGCAAGAGATACGCTTGTCTGCTTTCAGTCTTCTTTTGGGATACCTGAATATTTCCTAAAGAAGAGGATAACAATCCAGGTCTTTCCCCAGACATCCCTCCTCCTCCAGCCTTTTGAGGGCCTCAGTAGTGCAGTGAAATTGGAAGCAGTAATTATCCCCTGCAGACCTCACGACTCAGTTATGCCTTTGGAAACATTTGCAGGCAGCCTGCTCTCTACTCAAGTGATATTAAAATAGAGTTTGTGCCTCACCATTCTGAAATTGCATTGCATATTTGAAATGCTGGATGTTATGGGTCACTGCCAGGTGTGGAGGAGCATCAAGTTCATTGTGTAGAGCAGGAGTAGGAGATGGTCTTCACCTCGGTGCTTCCTTAGGTGCGTGTGAGTGGGAACCCCTGTGCCAGGAGAAATATTTGCAGGCCAGGACGAACAGTGAGCCTGGAAACGCACGGCTCCTGGTGCAGGCACAGCGCTCTCTGTCCCTCGGGGTGCTCCCAGGGCGCTCGTCTCTCGCTGTATCAGAACTGGACCTTTTCCAGCCAGCTCTGCTGCTGTCTTGCAAAGGAACCTTTGTGGAGGAGCATCCCCCTCCCTGGACTTCATTTCTGAAGGGCCAGTGGTACTGACCTCCTTTGCAAAGCGCCCTGAGATTAGGTGGAAAGCACAGTAAAAGGCCTAGGGTCTATTTTATCGTTTTATCATCCGTTCAAGTATGAGAGAATTTAGCGATAAAGCCTGCTGCGCATTCAAAAAGAAAGTGGGAGGTCGGTTCAGTATCTGCTGCTTGAAAACGTGTGTGCCTTGGCTGATTTTTATCTTTTGGTTGTCTTTTCAGAATGCTCCAGGACGACCTTCAGCTCAGTGATAGCGAAGACAGTGGTGATGACCAAGTCAGTTTTAGCTGTTTTATATACTGCGCACACAGACATCCCTTTAAATGATCATGACCTAAGTCTGTTGTTCCGAGCTCCTTACGCTAACCTTTCCTTCCCCTCTGCTCTCTGTTTTTGTGAACAAAACAGGTTGTTGAAAAGCCACCTTCTTCATTTGCTCCTCCAAGGTACAGGTTTGTTCCAAAACTGCTAGCTAGACCAAATAAGAAGGGAAAACAAAACTGCCTTTTATACATAGGAGTAGTTGGGAAAAAGGTGCCTCATTTCTGTAATAGATACAGCTTTGATTTCTAGTTACCTGAGTTTTCTGTTGAAAATTGGCTTTCGTTGTGTGGGGCTTTACTGAAAGCTTCAGCTAGAAATAAATAGACCAGGCATGCTGGATTTTGCCTTTGAACCAGAAGTTATTTCTCCAGCCATTCACTTTTCCTCGCTCCCCTCATCCCTTGCCCCAGTGTATGTACAGATCACACTGGAGCTGATGGGATGCTTAGTTATAACAGTGATGTCTAAGATGTGAGTCCGGTTTTAAATCAGAAGGAAGCCAGAAACAGCCATGGAGGTGAAGAACAGAAAAAAGGAGCTAGGCTCGTTCAGGCTTCTTCAGCTTCTCCTGGCACGTCAGGGGATTGTATACAGCTTCTGCCACATATTGTTAGTCACAGGCAATATTCAAGGTTAGACTGAACAGGCATGCCACCCGCATTAGAGGGAGAGGGGTGGGGAAGCCCAAAACGTTTTCTAAAGAGGAACACTTAAGTACAGAGCACATTTTTGGCTTGATGACTGTATTCTTCAAGCACCAGGTAATGGTCTACAAAGTCAGACTTGCACAAGGGCATGCTGAATCTTGGTGGGATCTGTCGCCTCTGGGAAAGCTCTTGAAATAGAGTGTTCTCGCCGTGCGAGTCTGAATCAGCAAGGAGCTTGCCTCCATATCTTGGCATACGCAGTGACGTTGACATGGGAAACGGTTTTCAAAATCAGAAATCAGCGTTTTGACTTAAGCCCATAACAAAAAAAATAAAAAAGAAAAGAAATTGTGCATAAAAGTCATAGCTCTGCCTCATTTTCATCCAGTCCAATTTGTCAGTGCATCGGGAAACTAACTTTTGAGTTAGGCTGGATGTTGCAAAAAGTGCTGCTGCTTGAGATGGCAGTTAATGAACAGTTACAGCACCCTTGCCAAGAAACATGGCTGAGGAAGTGAAAATTTAAAGGGGAAAGTGCAATAAAGAGAAATGTATGTCTCTCTCCTGTTAGCATTTATTTGGTAGTTTTTCTGTTGAGGGTTGGGGCTTGCAGAAGAACACTTGTTAATTTTTATTTTTTTTTTTACGCTTTTGTTGGCTAAATGCAGTTTCATCCTGTAGCAGCGACATCCTGCTTGTGTGTTCATTTAACTAGGTTGAGGGTGAAGGACTTATTTCCAGGGGGTTTTTTGGTACAGTGCTTTATCTTTGAATACGGCATTGTATTCCTTTGGCCTTCTTCCCTTTTCTCCCAGAGTCAAAACATGAGGTTTCAGTCTTATTTCTGAACGCTGCCATGTCAATATCATAAATAAGTAACCCTCACCCATGCTGCTTTCTAATTTTATCTCATGATGGCCTTGCAGTGCTGCGCAGTCACAGCCTGAGAGTGTGGCATCAGCACATTCCAGCAGTCCGGCGTCAGGGAGCACCAGTGACTCAGACAGCTCGTCAGACTCGGAGACGGAGAGCAGCTCAAGTGACAGCGAAGAAGCAAACGACCCTCCGAGACCGCCAGCCCCTGAGGTGAATGCGAATAAAACGCGGAGGCTGCTTAATGCAGCCTGTTGCCTCAGGCTTCCCACTGGCTGGATGTGGTCAGGATAGTAGACCTGAAATACCATCGTCATTCAGGTGTCCCCTTCGAGTCTTTGCCGCTTCATCCAACTTTTCTTGCCCTTTGCTTCACTTCTAGAGTTTGTCTATTAAATAACCCTTAGTAACAGTATAATTAGACTTTTAAGTGCCTGGCCTCGAAGTGTGTTCTCCCTTCTCTTTTGGCATCGTTGGCTAGCCTTCCTGGAGGAGTTAGCGCCTTCACTGGGAAGGCGCAGGCAAAGCACAGATGGGAAGCACAGCTTGTCTTGTGTGTTGAGGGCCCACCTGCAGTTTTCCTGGGTGCCAAGGCTGTGGGCTGCTTCAGGGTGAGACCAATTTCCTGCTATCCTAAGTGAAGCTGCTGCCTCCCTGCAGCTCCTGTGCGAGTGACAAGTTCAGCTTCTCTCAGATCACAGCTGAAGTGATCAGACCTGCAGCAAAGTCTGGAATGTGCTTAGACTTGCTTCTGTTGAGTTTGGCTCAGATACTGCTGTACTGGCATTTCTGAGGCTTTTGGGGGGAAAAGCAGACAAACAGGACTTAGTGCTTCAAAGTTTCATAATTGAGACCATGCATCTTTTTAAAATCGGCTGCAGAAGTGTTGGTGTCCCATGGTGTGAAAGAGATCCTCCGACTTGCAAAACGTTCACGGGCCAATAGGAAGTGCACAGTTGTATCCTGTGGACCATAGCTAATGTAAACCAATCCACTGGCGGTTCTGAGATACTCTCACAAAGCCCAGAAACCTCTTCATTTATTTCTCCTTCCTCCAACCATCTTTCCTTTCTTGTAACTTAGAAGCACATGAGCAGGGAGACTTTTATGTGCAGAAAACATTGCAGAAACTTTGAGAAAATATATCTTCATCTCACGTCTAATACACTTTCACGTCCAGCAGTTCAGTTACAGACTTTGTCTTGTGCAGTATGAGTGTCTTGGGAAGGAAAGAGATGTTATACTTCTCTCCTTTCACCAAAACATGCCTGTTTTGTCCAGAAATTAGTAGATTAGAAGCTCCTTCTCAGCCTCTTGAAGTCCTAGCTATTTTCCAGTGACTATTTTATCCCTTTTTATTCAGTAAACTGTTCATTCATGTTGCACAAGGAGTAAGCTAATGTACATGGCCTGTTTGTATATAGGCAGTTCTTCACGGACAAGAGCAAAGACTTTAAGACCTATGGGTAGTATTTTTTTTCGTTTTTGATACTGTCTCTTACTTTACTTTGTGTTCAGAAAACCTGATGAAACCTGTATAAAAGTGTATATCAGAAACAAGATAAATGATAATAGGAGAAGTGTTAGGAAAGGATCAGAGTATGCCACTGTCTGATAACTGCTTTCTAAACTGCAATTTAATAAGTCATTTGGGCGTGTTTATAGTGCCTAACAAAGGCAAAAAAAAAAAAAAAGAAAGGAAAGAAAGGAAGAAAAGAAAAGCTGCTCCTGAGTTGCTAACAAGTTATAATTCTAATAAAAACAAGGCAGATTTTTCATCTGAAAACAGCAATGGAATTTGTGGGTTAATTTTACTTACGAACCCATGGTAAAACTAAACCCTGTGTTTTAAATCAGGTACCCAGCCTAAGTCACCCGAACACAGTCAAGCACGTGTTTTTTTGGTCTTGAAGACATACCTTGTTTACCAACATGTTCCACAGCACAAAGCAGAGTTCATTCTGGATGGAGAAGGAAATCAAGGCAGAAGGAATTAAAAAGTCTTGAAAATCTTTTAACGTGCTAGGCTTTCTCTTTTCTGGTGTTCAGAGTTGTGGCAGGAGAGAAGTGGTAAAGGTTGGGAGTGTAACTATGCTCTGATGATTCCCAGATAGTAGGATATACGTTTGAGCGATGTTGACGAATCTGCAAGATTTTCAGAACGAGACAATAATGCCCCTAATTGCAGCTTCTGATGTCTGTTTTAGGGTTAGTTGGTTTTGCTTTTTTCCTAATTTATGAGACTAGTTTTTCATTAGGCAGGGTTCTAGCAACCAATTTCAGCCTCTGACTGTGATTTCAGAGGCTTTGAAAGCTTGATCATATCTCATGCCTTGCTTGTCCCAGAGGCATGCAAGTGTTGGATTGCTCAGGCAGAGAACTCACAAGGAGCTGGACCTGGTGTGTTAGCCATATAATTTCTTTAGGTAACTGCTTAAATCACAGGAGCCTGATAGCCTACCTGTAAGACTTGGACCAGATGGGGCAGCTATTGCTCAATCATGAGAGGAGTGCTCTGTGAAAATCACTTTCCAAAAGAACGGTGAGGACACCAGCTAGTTCCAGTTTTGCACTTTGCTGCTTTTTTGTGTGTTGTCTGCTGTGTGAGGATGTTCCTTTTTGGTGCAGAGCAAACCAGGACCAGGCTTTCATGTACACTCATCTCACTGAGTTATAGGTAGGGCTAACAGAGAGCCAGGAATTCTGTGTGACATGTTTGACGGATCCTGTGCAAAAATGGAGTGTGTGTTTCTGAGTTAAGTGTTCATTTGCACACGCTAGAGTATCCCTGGTTTCTCATGGTCTTTCACTTCCAAGGCCTTTTAACAATAAGGGAAATTTTCCTGAATTCTGATAACTTGTGCTAGGATCAAAATAGCCCGTGAAGATGTCAATCTTACATCCTTCCTTTCTCTTTTTGTCTGTAGCCTGATCCACCAACTTCTAATAAGTGGCAGCTCGACAACTGGCTAACTAAGGTGAACCCGCCAGCAGTGCCAACTGAGAGTCTCAGAGAAATTGCCCATGCAGATGGACACGAGGAGAACAAGGAACAGGGTGAGCGGCCCGAACCAAAAGAGTCTCATCCCAAGAACTCTAGCCGAACAGCCAGGGCTCCTCAGGATGTTCATCTTCCGAGCAAACGAAACTGCCAGAAGTCTCCTGTGCGTACTGAGGAGCCCTCACAGAGGCAGACTGTTGGGATCAAAAGGCCCAGCAAGGTCCCCGTGCTTGAGGGGCCCAAAGGAGGCCTGAAGGTGGAAAGTGAACCTGGTCCATACGAGGTTAAAGACCAGTCTTCCAGAGACAAGCCAAAAGTAAAAACGAAAGGGAGGCCAAAATCCAGTGATAAAAAAGAACTGAAACCAACACTGCAAGAGCCCTCTGAGAACAGAAAGCACAAGAGCTCACATCAAGCCAACTCCAAGTCCCTGTTGGACCCTAAGCCTGTGAGAGACGTTTTGACTGGCAATGCCCAAGAGCATCTCACTCTCAGTCCCCTCACCCAAAGCCAGGGCACAACCCCCACCAGGACTAGCGGCAATAAGTCCGCCGTTGTGGTCAGAGAGGATTTTCACAAAGACAAGTTTCCTTTGCCTATTAGGGAGAAGAAGTTGCTATCGCCTGTGAGGGACCTCCCAGTCCCTCACAGCCTTGTGGTTAAAATTGAGCTCTCTCTCCTGTCAAGGATTCCTCAGCCCCCCGGGAAAGGCAGTCGCCAGAAAAAAGCAGAGGCTAAAGAGCTCCTTGGTGCAAGGAAGCAAGACTTGGAGAGGAAAAGCACAGACACTCCTGACAAGTCCTTCAAAAAGAGGAAGGTGAGAGGTCAACAGAGAAGAGAAGTGGGTTTTTGCAAGGACCAGAGCTTTGTTTAGTGAATGTGGAGCTGTTTGGAAAACTAACACTTGGAGTTTTTCTCCTTCATAGGTTTGGAGCGGGCCCATTATCTTCCTCAAATAGAAGTGTTATCAAACTTTTAACTGAAATATATCAAAACATTGCATAGAGGTTCCTTACTAATCACAAACCCACTGCTGAGTGAATGAAAAGTGCCATGAGGTGTTCAACAAATGGTCTGGTGTTTTCAAACAATTTTTGCTTTGTTTTCTTATAAAACCAGTGTTCTCAGACCAGAAAATCCCAACCCTCTTTTGCTGGAGGAGCTTTCAGCAGGCCCAGCCAGCATACGGCCTTTTGGCCCTTTGGTAGCGTTCTTTGGTTTCTGCTTTCAACCCAAGCAGAGCTTGGGAGTGCTGCAGTGCCTTCTGCCCCCTGTACCCCCTCCTAAAAACGGTGTGGTATCTGAAGTGCCTCCTAAGCTGTGCATTTATCTGCAGTGTCCATTTAACGCGTGTTGCAGGAAGGTGCCTTGCTTGCTGTTTGTGGAGGTGCCCAGAGAGAGAGCTGTCCCAGGTCACCAGTCTGCTGCTTTCAGTTGTGTCTGTGTACGTGCATTCGGCCACCTTTGGCTGTAGAAGCTCATGCTGAGCAATACAGTCTTTTCTGGCATGGAGTCATTTATTTCTGTTAAACGATTGCAATCGCTTATTTACGGAGAGAAAGAGGAATGAATTACACAGGTGTGGACTGTGTGAATGCTAGGTGTGATGCTGGTAGCCTCATGCCTTTTGTTTTTCATTAAATGCAGACTTTTGACTGAACTAGGCTTACTGATGATAAAAACTGTAACTAAGCCCTACCTTGGATCTCAGTACTGGGATAAATATATAGAAGGCTGCTTTGATCTTCCCTGAAGCTGCTGTGGAGCTAGCAGAGAAGCTAATGCTTAAAGATGTGCCTCTCTCTAGTACGGGGCTTTCCAGAGGTCCTTTTAGAGTCCTTCAACTATAATGGTCGCCTTCCCCTCGAACTATAAGACTGCCCCTTCTCGTTCGGCACAGTAGTTGTTGAGGCGTTGTTTTTGACGGCCCACTCCCAAAGGGCATGGTGAGTATACTCCCGGCCAGCCGGTCCCTTCACGCAGACAGTTTGTTGCAGGCCTGGTGCTGAACAGTTACCACGCACGTATTCACCGTGGACGTTTCAGGGCCTGCATGCCTTTTTGGTTCGCCCTCAAGGAGTAAGCGACTTGCAATTAGTGGGAGAGTAACCTTGATTCTTGAGCTGGTTTCATTAAATCTTGGCACCGTCTAAGGTTCCCTTGCTTGTAGGGGAGAGCTGGGAACAGCAGGGAAACAGTGAAGGAACCTGAGAGACCCCAGCAGTCTCTGTCGGGTAGAGGAGCTGGAGAAGGGTAAACAGGCAGTAAATCTGTCGCTTCTCCTGTTGGCGTCTCCGAGACCAAAGAGAGTTGTTGTTTGACGCTAGGCATGTCTTGCCTTGCAGCCTGAGCGTCTGGTCATCTCAGAGCCCCGCCGTCTGCGTTACGGCAGCGTGCTTCAGCGTCCTTGGAGGCTCGGGCAGCTAGGTCAGGCACAGCTGTGCCGTACGGGGGGCTGCACATGAGAAACCGTTCGAGGGCTTGTGTGGGCTCTGGAGCCTTGCCCTGCTCCCGCGGCCAGAGGTGGGCTCTGCTCCGTACGTGGCCACCCGTTTCAGTCGCGGCCACATCAGCCTGGATGCCCCCTCGGGAGAGGGAGGGAGAGCAAGTCCTTGAGCGCCTTTGGCTGGCAGCGCACCGTTTACGGGGAGAGCTGATTGAATAGCTCAGTTCCTTTTTGCAATTTTTGTCTTGTAGTAAATAATTGGGAAATTTTTCATTCAGGTGAGCTGATGGTTTGGCGACACACGCTTTGTATTGTAAGATCTGTGGAACGTACTACAAAAATGGTTATTGCCACTCTGCCTCGGTGGCTCTTGCTGTTCCAAAGGACAGTATATAGACAGAGTATACAGACGGCAATTTTAACTGACTTTTTAAAATTTCGCCCTATGTCTGGTTCTCGTTAATAACAAACAAAAAACCCACACGTCTTGGGAATCTTATGAGCGGTTTAACTCTTGAGCGAATGCTGCTTTTTCCTTTCCTTTTGACAAACAATGCATATCACAAAACACAATTGCTGGCTGTTCATGACTGCGCCAGAAGGAATTTTAATACGTCTCAGTCTTCTGTGTGATTCATGTGCGCTAGAGGAAAAAAACCACCAAGAGCAGATAAGGAAATGCTTACTCTCAACAATGTAAGTACCATTATGTTGGACAGTTAGCAAGGAGAGGTTTAGCACTTTCATTCCATCCACCCCAAAATAATTAATCTGTCCAAGCAAAAGTAGATACAATGTCATGTCAGGATACTTGTAGGTGAACCTGAAATTTATGTCCACTGTGCGCAGGGTTTCCACTTTGTCAGTTCCAATATCTTTCTGTTTCCTTTTTTTTTTTTTTTCTCTTAGAGGGAAATGGAGAAGGAGATGGATAGGAAGAAAATGAAATCAGACAAAGAAACCAAATCATTGCAGTCTTCAACTCACAAAGACTCCAGTAAATTGAAGTGAGTATACAGTGGTGGGATGCCAGAAAGGTGTGTAAAAGTGAGCCTTTTTTTAAAAGGTTAAGGAACTGTATCTCCTATTCTTCTTATACTTGTGAGTTTACTTAATGTAAAGTGCTTTCTGAAACTTAACCTGCTGCAAATGTATCTTTGTGTCCTGGAACCATGTGTCTGATGAGATGCAATTTATTTGCCATTTTTATTTGTTGCAGATGTGCAATTATACATGGTGTCACCTACCGTCCTCCCCCTTTTGAATGCTGAGGATTACCATTTGAATCATTCAAGCCCGGGCTGATGTTTTAGCGCCTAGTCCTCCTCCCATGCTTGTTTTATGCTTCTATAAAACCACGGAATGTGGTGGCATTTGTCTTGCTTTATAGTAGTTGAGACCAGAATGAAGGCATTATCATTTTAAACAGAAACTTGTCCATCCGGCTCCTTAGGCTGCTGTGTGCTCTGCTCCACGCGTTACCCGTAGCTCGGGAAATCCTTTTCTGTTGTGAGAAATTTTGTTGCCAGTTCAGTGCACAGTGCTTTTCCCTTCTGAGCTGGTACCGAACCAGTGTCACTGCTATCTTTAAGATACGATGCAGGAAAAGAAACGCGTGCACAAAGGTGGTTGTGTTGAGCATACTGTTCTAGTTGCAGCCCCTGTGGAAGGCTGCCTGGCTGCTGGGAGGCAGTAGTCCTTTCCCCTTCTTAAAACTACAGAGTTAATCTGCTGTCAGTAGTTGCTTGCTATAGATTATCTGCGAGGTGGCAGCAGTTTTTCTGTGGAAGCAGTGAATGCTTCCACATTGCGCAGTAGTTTAGGGGCTCGAGGGGATGGCGAGAGAACATTTTTTGTTTCTCCCTGCTGTGTTTTCCTCCTTTCGGGCTTCTGCTGTCCCAACTATTTTGTGGGAGTTTGTGCTCGCTTGCTGCGTAGGAAGCAGCAGAGAGCTTTTCATCAGATTCATGGCACTTCACAAACGTTTGAAGCTCTCCGCGTCTTTGTAAGGTGAGAAGGTATTGTGAGCACATTTTGCACGTGGGGGAGCCGAGGTGCAGAGAATTTAAGTTGCTTGCTCAGACGCCCATTGGAAGCAGGGGATAGAGCCGCAAGCGTAGCCCAGAAGCCCTGAGTCTCGTTCCCGGCGCTGGGCGCTAGTGTGCACAGCAGAGGGAATTCTGGCAGCCTCTTCACTTTTCTGCGCAGAGAAAAATATTGTACTAAGCGCAACTAGATGTCTGTAAATTTTGGTTTGGCAGTCGTGGCTGTTTTGTTAATTGGAAAGGTCTTGCTGAAAGGAAAACGTTAGATGTTAATGCTGATACCGTCTGCTCCGTCAGCAGCTTTTGCATTCACCGGTAACAGGCTTTGAACAGCACTTAACCTGCTGGCTCCAGGTAAAGAGAGAGTGTCTGTGCTGGGTGGACATGTCTTTCCCTGTCTGAGAGCACAGAGGTGGATATGATGGATATTGCAGAGCTCCGTTCTGTCACCTGTTGCATTGTGAAGCTGCTGAGAAGACCCAAACTGGCCTGCCCCAGAAGCACGTGGATATGTGCCACTCCCCCTTTCTCTCTAATCAAACCCCGGTGCTGCTGCACTAATTGGCTTTCCACTGTGCCTGGCCCAGATTTGTATAACGATGAGCTGTGCAAAGCCCAGTCCAGAAAACAGATTTGTTTACATAGGTGCATGGGAGCAGGGAGCGTTTCCCTCTTTCACTACAGTCGCTTTATTGCCTTTTCTTCGTGACCAAATGGACACACGTTCAGGGTGCCTTTTCAGTCTTTGTTTTTGTCTGGAACTTTAGCTGGCCTTTATGGCGAGAAATTTCTCATTTGCTCCAGCGCCTCTGGTAGATCTGCTCAAACTCCCCCCGTAATTTGCAGACCAGTGTACTGCCAGCATCCTGGCTAGGCCTGAGCTAGAGCGGTTGCTTCCAAGCGCATCCCTTGAAACGGGCAGTGTTCCTCAGAGAGGCATCTGCAACGTTGGTTGGGGGCTGTTGCAGTCATTTCCCGTTTATTTGCAGGTTGAATTCAAGGTACTGACCTGCGTCCATGATAATGGTGGAAGGGTTTTGATTCCGGAGTTGATTCCTTCCTTTTTCCCAGTGAAAACAGATGTGCCCTTCTTAATCATGTTCTGTTGTTCCTAGTGGGAAGAATAGGATGCATTTTGGGGGAAAGAAGGTGCTGGATCAGGTTGAGGGAGTGCAACTGGCTTCTGCTCCAGCCTGTCACACAGCTGTAACTTTTTTTTTCTGAAGAAGGCATAGGACTGTTTCAGTTCTTTTTGTCTTTTTCCTTTCCTTCTACTTTCTTGGAATATGTTGTTGCACAGGCAGATGCACTGTGAATATATCCTGCTCCCTGGTTGTTACTGGCCCACAGACAGCAGAATAAGCAAGCTGTGCGCCATCCTGCTTCAGTCTCCCCGTGGGATTTAAATTAACTTCTTCCTCTCCTGATATTGCAGTCCATGACTTGGGGTTCACTGCTCTAGATGTTTTGTGTTTTCTTGGAAACCTCAAGAAGCTGAAAAAAATACTGTAAATGACTGGTGAAACAAGGCTTACAGCTGTTTGGTGCTGCATATAGCTGCCAGTTACCTGCTAATTCTAACCTTAAATGGTCAGAAATCTGCTACAGTATTTTTAAACGTGATCAGCTCTGCCATTTAGAAGCAGAGCGTTTTAAGTCTCTTTCCCTTTTCCCTTGTATCTTCTCAACTTCTATGTGTGTTGGCTGATTTAGTTGACAAGTCTCAAAGCAACAAAGGAAAACTCGGTTTTATTCTCTCAAAACTTGTAATAGATCAAGTTTCAGGGTGAGTATACATAGAAAATAGAAAAATACCTTCTATTGTAGAGGGGAGACAGAGGCAATGCTGCAGTTAACTTGCCTTGAATAGCTGATTTGCATTGCTGGGAGATCTGTCCCAGAGCTCCTGGTCACTGTAGTTCCCTCTCTTCCTCTTTGAGTGAAAAGTGGCTGTGTTGGAGGGGTATCTTTTCTGCGGCGTCCAAACATTCTAGTTGCAAGTCTTTCCTCTGATGATAAGTCTTAGGGCTTATTATTACTTCAAAAGCAAGTTGCCTATAGGTTGTTGACAGCTGAAGATGTATTATGTAATGCACTACGAAGTCCCTAAAGTTTCATTTTGCTTTTGTTGGATTCCTTATGTTAATAATTCATCTCAGAGTCTCCAGCTGAATAAACAGAATTAGTATACAATGTAATTAAGTTTAAAAAAAAAAACCTTCTCTCCCTCTCTCTCTCTCTCTCTCTCTATATATATATATACACATATACATATGTATGTACACTGTATTCATCCCAAATGATAAGTTCAATTCCCATCTGCAGAGCATCAAAAGCCTCATTTGAGATCCAGAAGAAAGATCTCCTGCTACCCCCACCATTGCCACCCATGTCTCCTGCACACCCTGCACCAAAGCCAACCAAGATGACCCAAAAGAGACACAGGAGTGAGAGCGGCCAGCTGCCTGCCACAAATAACACTGCCAAGAGCAAGAGCAGCCACAAGGATCCTTTGTCCTCCAAGCACAAGAAAGTGGACAAAAAGCATCCTGAACAGTCTAAGAGCAGCAAAGTAGGTATCAGTTGCCACTGGCAGGATATTTCCTGCAACCCAAGGGTACTGTATGGTTCTCTTCAGAAACAAGCCCTTAAAATATTAAAAGGGAAGATAGATAGCCAGCCACCCGAGAAGGCTCTCAGCAACATCTTTGTCCTTGTAGTGGTTGTCTGTGACTATATTTTGCTAAGCCAAAGGGGAACGTTCTTTCCCTGAAGGCGTTAAGCTTCAAATACATCTGTGGTTTTCTAGGCTTACATTTGTGGTATTACCTTGTTGGTATAGTTGTGATGAGCGATACGCTGTTAGGGTTCTGCTGGCAAAACCAACAAACCCAAGAGATTGCACTGCAGCTGCAACACTTAACATCTCTGCTCGCTTTCCATGTTGCACGTGAGATTAAGCAGGTCCTTAAGGTGACCTATCCCGGAAAGATTCCCTGCTGAGGGGAGAAATCGGCTGGTACAGACATGACTCTCTAACCATCTGCTGCCTCTCAGTAGGAATCTGACCCAAAGTCAGGGTATCTGTGGGTTTTGTATGAGACCCTGTTACTTTGAAATGTTCACAGCAATTTAACTTGACTTCTGTGAATTAGTTTTTTATCCATTTTCATCTCACCAGTGAAAAATAAGTGGGAAGAGGTAACCATGTATAAAGGAAAGGCAAGAGAATCTTGTTTTTAGCAGTAACTGTTTCTGACTGTATGCAGCTGCAGGTATGACATGATGGGTGTAAAACTAAGTGTCTTTACAAAAAGAAAGAGTGAATCACTTAAAAATAAGAAACTAACAGCCCCTATTTTTGACTGCAACCTGGGTATGAGCTTATATAGCTCGCTTACACAGTTATTGTTAATGAGCCTTGCAGCTGGGTCCTTGCGTTATTGGTTATAAAAGTCAATTATATTGCCCTTTGCTGGTTTCTGGATGTGTGTGGTCCAGGATTTTCACATGTGTGTCTTAAGAGAGACTGTATTATCTGGCTACTGACTACTTTCCTTTTCCTGATACTCTAGTTGGTAATGCAGAATCAGCAATCGCTATCTGGTTAAGCTAGAGATGGATGTGAACGGACATTACTAGTTCCTGTCTTGGCTAGGGGCCATGAAAAAGGTGCTATTCGCAGCCTTACTGTTATCTTAGTCATTGTGCGAGGAAACCTGCTATTTAATTTCTTCATGCACGGGAAAAGTTTGAATCATATTAAGCCTTACTAGCAGTCATGTAAGAAGCCAAATTTCCACTTCTGTTACTGGAAGATGGGGCTGGGGAAGAAGGAAAAAAGAGGAAGAGCATGGAAAAGAGACTGTGCCTGGGCAAATAAATGTTTTCTCTTAAGGTTTAGGAGAGCCAGGCTTTAGATCTGTTCTTCATGATATCGCTGTAACCGGTTTCTTCTCTACACTGTAATTTTGCCAGGGATCTGCAGGAGATGTCACAAATCCTTTCCCAGTGCCTTCTTTGCCAAATGGTACCTCCAAGCCAAGGAGACCTCAAGTCAAGTTTGAAAAGTAAGTTCTTGTTTTACATTCCTCTTCTGTCCCTTCAGAAGACGCCAGGCAGGGCTGGCCCAGCAGCCACCCTTCCTCCCGCTTCTTAGTGAGCCCTTCTTTTGGGAGAAAAAAGGGAGGAGATGTCTGGGAGCTGTACTGCCCTGTACTGCGCTCTCGCATCCATGACTGCCACCTTTGCATCTCCTTGCTGGCTTACTTCAGTTCTCATGACTACTTCTGTCAACTATGGGTGTACGTGATTCTCCCCCCTTTTAAAAAGACACCCAGAGGTCTCTTGTTTTAGCTTGCAGTTCTTGGTTGGAGAGAAACTAGTCTAAAAATTAGGTACTCTTTAACTAGGAGAGATCCCTCTCTAAGAGATGATGTCTATGCTTGCCTGCAAGTGATGGTTTTGATTTGTCTGATTCTTGACACTTGACAAACTCCTCTGTGACAAGGTGCTGGGTAAGTGACTGGCTTCTCGGGCTGGAGAGAGGGCCTGACTCTTTCTTAGCTCATTTTTTTAGTGCACAGGCAGCTGTGTGCAGTCTGTACAGTGAATAAATTATCCTGGCGTACAGAAATGTGCATGGTCCAGCTTTATCAGTTACATGCTGATTGAGAGAAAGAGCTGTAGAAGCTTTTGCCTTGTTAACTGTATCTCCTGTAAGCAGATAACTTGAATGTAAGCCCTTTTGGTCTGATGTGTGTATGTTGTACTGTGGCGTGTACTGTATGGTTCATTTCAATCAAAATGTATTTGTGGTGTTATATTTGAATGATATGCGATCCCATAAGTACTGTCTTTCCGTGAGAGTGAAGTAAAGACGTAAACGTGGCCTCATAATAGCCTAGCATAGTTTCTTTGAATGTCCAAACATAAGTTTTCAATGTTTTTCTAATGCCATTTTTTAAAATCAATTTGTATTCATACTATCTTGTCGGAGCATTCAGATGCTGACAACATTCAGTTAGTGATTATTATAATTTGTAATGCATGTATAATAAGAGTGAGAGTCTGTACAGGAATCACAGCATCCTCTAGATAGGAAAGTAAAATTGACACTTATCCTGCCCCTTTTTTGTCTGTGTTGTTCTTTTCTCTGTTAGACTGCATCCGATGGAATATCACATAGAAGAGGCCAAGAGGCTGAAGCACAAAGCCGATGCTATGGTAAGTCTTGGCCCTGTGCTAGAAGTGTTAAAGCAGTTCTTACATTCAGATCTGCAACCTGTGTGTGTGTGTGTGAACAAGATTTGCCGGCTAGCATCATTTCCGCTTAATGGCTTTTGTCCAAATCATTATGTGTAGGGGGCTTTTTTTATTTGTCTGTTTTTGAAACATTTCCCTTTGTATAAGCAGACCTAGAGAGCAGGCCTAGAAAACGGGATTCAAAGTTGACATTGTCCAAGATGAGCATCTGTTTGCTTTGCAGAACTATAACAAAATCCTTAGAAGGTGGATTGAACAAGAGTTTTAAGACAGTTTGCTCTGAAATGTCAGGAACCTGATGATAATTCTGTTGCTGGTGAACAAGATTTGAAAGTACTCTTTGCTGATGTAACTGGCTTTCTCAGATGTGTGCAGTTTAATAGCATGCGTAATAAGTACACTTCTTGCTAACTGTGGCTCAGACAGGTAATCTACAGCTGACATTCACCTGAAAAAAATGGAGTGAGAGGTTTTACTTTTTTGTCACTTTCAGCCTTTCATGCCAAAATATTGCATAGGTAACTACAGAATGAGTTCTTTTCTTCTCTGGAAATAATTTTTAAACCCTTTTGCAACGTAAGTGACGATTGCCTTGTTTTCCTTGTTTTAATTCTTCCCACTGAAAATTACAATGCCAAGCCTTGAAAGGCTGTCCAGCTCTTGACTGTTGAGATCTAGTGGGAATCTGCAGTCTAAGTCTCCAGGGTGATTCTCTGTGAAATAGTTTGAGAGAACTGATAATGTAATCCTATCACTGAGAGGATTCCTGCAGGAGTTGTAAAACGTTTGTTGCAGCTTTCCAGCTGCAAATGCAGTGGGAACAGGACAGGAGGGCAAGACAAGAGTTTCCCCGATGAGAACACCCAGGTTCAGCTTTGGCAATCTCATTCTGCGGAAGGTGAGAGCAGGCAGATCAGAAAAACGCTACGGCATGAAAAACACTTGTCTGTGTGTACAGAGCTGGCAGGGAGGCAGGCTTTGGCGGAGAGAAAGTGTAGCGAGTCTGAAGGAGTGGAGTCCACTGAGATCTGGGGGGTGGGTAAGTAAGCACAGGTATAGGCTTCCTGTGAGAATTTGTTGTTCTAGGGACGAAGAAATGTTTGATCAGCTCTGTCATTCCTCTGCGGATGTCGAGATATGGGGTCTGGATAAGCTGGGCTTCTCAGGGTTACTGTGGCTGCTCGTGGAGAAACAGCCTGGAGCTTGGGCTACCTCTTGGAGTGGAAGGATCATACCCCGAGAAGTGTGGTTGTGTGAGGCCAGTGACTTACACAAGAGGATAAGAAGACACCGTTGCATTAGTCCAGCCACTGCATAAGAGGACAGGAAGCAGAAAGAAACTAGGATAGTTATTTCAGCTCTAGCACACTGTTCTAGACATGCGGACTAGAGATGCAGAGCAGCTGTAAAGCTCATACATTTACCGATCAGTATACTCTGCCAGGTCTGTACTTCTCCAGTAATCGAGCAGTTGACACTGTTAGGAAGGTTTGCCATAAGATATTGATTTAAAAAAAAAAAAAAAGATGGAAATTTCTTCTCTTCACATCATTGAAAATATCATATGTTAGTTTTCTCTTAAGATCTCTTGCTGACAGTTGCTTGTATGAATTTAGTTGGCACTGCAGAAGGAACTTGTGGGGACAGGTGGGGAATGAAGCCCAGTGAGATAAATCTGTAGTCAAGGCATATAAGTACATCAGAAGAAAAATAGTTTTATGTGTGTAAGAATCATTTCAAGGTTCAGTAGTCACAGTTGCAGAAGGAGCTTTGGCTGTGAAAGGCTCATGTTTGTAAGACACCTTCAAGTTCCTGCGAAAATACGTAGCTATTCAGATGATAATGTTAGTATGCACTGATACCACATCCGGATCCCACTGGAGGTCAGCAATGCAGTTTAACTGTGCTGTCACCTGTTTGCATATGAAGTCATGGGATGTGCATGTGCAGATTGCGGAGGTGGTAATCTGTGAGGATCTCTCCATTTAAACAGTAGGTGAATCTTATTCAAGCTTTCTAACTTCTTTAAGAGTAAACATCCTTGCAGACTGAAGAAATGCGTCAAAGTATTTCCTTTGGAACTTCATTACTGAAGTGCTATATTTTTTTAGGTAAAGGTAGATGCAGGAGTTTCTTCTCGCGGCAGGACAGATTTCAAACCAAATGAAAGCTATTGTGAGTTCTTCCAAATACTTAATTTGAATATAAAACAAGCTCTCAAGTTTTGAAAGAAGATTCCTCCAGCAGCCTTAAAGAGAGTGAGGCAGGGAAAGTAAAAGAGAGAGAGATCTTCCCTCTCCTTATTTTATGTTTCAAGGGAGGGTGCAAGGAGCCTTGGGATCACAGTGAATATGGCAGCGGGAAACCCCCATCTGCCTGGCACCAGGTGGGCCTCCGAGGCTAGACAGTAATTACCAAAGGATGTGAGGATACTAAATTATCAGGAGAAAAGAATTAGTCCAGAAGAGACCCAGATAGCCAGAGCATACAAGCTGATGGTTTGGGACCTCATTAGCAGCTCCGTACAATCTGTCTAAAAGTCTGGCATCACCTACGCTTTTGTAGAAGTGCTGGGTTGCATTTGGACCCTTGTGCTTTTTTCCAGCTATTTGTGGACAGATGTACTCAGAGGAGTCACTTTAGGACTCTTAAAGCACGTGCTGTTAAGAGGCACAGTGGGGATGTGTCTAGTTGCTTCCCTAACACCTATAATGTTTGCATGGATGAAAACAAGCCTTGTCTTGTCCGGGACCCGCACTGAGAGCTGGAGGAAGGGGAGTTAGCAGTTTTTACTGCAGGGTACATTTTTGAAGAGTTGAGAAGTCAGTCCACTCTGGCTTGGTGAGGACGAGAAGGTGTTGTAGCTTGATGGTCCTGTCTGTCATATTTCTTAAAGAGAAGCCTACAGACTGAGACCTTGAAGGGTGGTCATCAAGAGAGGACAGACACCGTTCGCTGTTAAGCAGTCATTGGTGCTTCCCCTGTGACAAGAGTTGCTGAGAACCCTTTAAATACCATTCGGAGGCCTGACTTGCATCTCGTTCTTTCTTCAAATTCTGCCTCTCTAGGGGTAGAAAAGGGTTTCAAGTACCCTGAGAGAAATAGCTTTTCACATGGTCTAAAAATGAGCATTTTCTTCCCAACAGACCGACAAGACTGGAAAGGCCTTTCAGTACTTGGATGCTGCTCTTTCCTTCATTGAGTATGGGATTGCCATGGAATCGGATGCACCAGCACCAAAATCAGCTTACAGCATATTCGCTGACACCATAGATCTCATCAAGTAAGTGGCTGTAGAAGCCTGCTGGTTCCGCGGCACGTTTGGAGGGGAAGGGCTGGTTGTGTTGTTTGTTTGGGACTGCGGCAGCTCGGGGTTCTCATCATGGAGCAGAGTTCTGGTTGCTGGACAAGCACGCAGGACAGACAGGCTATCCAAAGACACCAGAACCAAATCTTTTGAAGTGTTTCCGCATTGCTTATCACAAGAATTGGGTATCAAGTGCTGCTCAGGATTTGAGCCTTGAATACTGGACAAGACATTCATGGACACAAAGGAGCTTTGTCTTTATTTCGTTTTGAAGTTGCTTTTGCGTGTGAATTCAGCAGTGTTTCAGTTAAAAAAGCAAAACAACAATGTAGTGTATGGAACACTGTGTACCTTTAAAGGTCTTGCAGTTTGGTTGAAGGCAGATTTTATTGGTTTCTTCTATGTTTCTCTCCACCAGTACGTTTTATTGGGGTTTCTTATAGCAGGCTTCCCCATTGTGGTCCACAGCTATAGTAGATACCACTGTGTAGTTATGACATACACAGGTAATGCAACCCAAGGAAGCATATATTGGATAGAAAAGAAACAGGTATCTTTTTATCTGTACTGAAATTTGTTGGGGTCATGTGAGTTATTTGCAAGGGCTGATGCAACTTCTTGCCTTAGAGCTGGTTGAAACAGCTGCGAGTCACTTTTCATGGTAGACTTCAAGCTTTTTTTTTAATTGCATTAAGTTTGTCTTCTGGTTTTGATGGACTGTATTTCCAAAAGGCTTTTGTTTATTTGTTTTCAAAAAGAGATTTTGCTTGTTTGTTTTTAGCCAAAAGATTTCCACCAAGATGTCTATCTTGGCCAGAAATGCTTGAATTAATAGTTTACCTGTAGTGAGGTGGATACATGTTCTGGGCCCCAGATCTGTAGCAGGCCCATGGAGGGAGGGGGGGTGTGCCTGTTTGTCGGGATAGTGCCTGTTAATTAGTTTGTTAGGAGAGTGCGTGGTATAAGAGGTCACATCTGTTCCCACTGTGTGGAAAACAGGGCATTTTGAGATAAAGCCCTCTGATGAAGATCACACCGAGAAGTGAGTGCCAGAACTAAGATTTCAGGTCAGGTTTCCTGAGTTTCGGATCGCTGGCATGCACTACGTCATAAATAGTTTGACTTCAGAGCCCTGGTAGCTGACAAGATTGTGTTAATTTTGTTTCCTTAGATTCATAATGACATTAAAATCATTTACGGACTCCTCAGCATCTTCACATGAAAAAATCTTTGCCGTGTTATGGTGCGTAACTGCTTTTCTGTGCCTTCATACTCTGTTTTTGGACTTGCTGGAGTGAGAAAGACTTTCAGGGGTGAAGGAATGAGTTAAATGGGAATCAAAGTTCTGCAAGGAAACAAAATGGTATAAAAACCAGAGCAAACTGAAACATCTCTAAGATGAGCTGCAGTATCACAAGGGACCACACATGGAAGGTGAAGGCCCTAGAATTTGATCTGCTGGTAACTTGAGAGTGCATAAGGGCTTTCGCCTAAGGTGAAAGAATGCGTTCTGGCTGTCCATGTTCGAGCTGTGTAACAGAAGCTGTAATTGAACATAGCTGAGGCACTTCTGGGTGGGAGCACAGTAGGCCCATGGCACCTATAAGAGGCTGGGCACCTGTTTCTGGTTAAAAAAAAAAAAAAAAACAGACGTGACCCTTCTGCTGTTGATGTGATTGTTTTCCCAGTCTTTTTATGATGAGCAGAAAGGAGGAGAGATTGAGCTTTCTTGAATTTGAAATAAAGTTGATATGTGCCTGCCCCTGTTCTGCAAAGTTAATTGCTGCCAAGCAGGCAGCAGACCGGCGTGAGCCCTGACTCTCTGGTGTTTCTGTTCACAGCATGCGCTGCCAGTCCATTCTGCACATGGCAATGTTTCGTTACAAAAAAGACACTGCAATAAAGTATTCCAGGATCCTCAATGACCACTTCAAGGTAGGGCATGTATATTATTAGACTGTCAGCTTTACAGATGGGGTAGTTACTGGTGTTGGTTGTCAAACCCAAACCTAACAACAATTCTGTTGTTTGCTGCAGAGTTCTTCCAGAGTAACACAAGCACCTTCCCCATGTGTTGCAAGGTAAGATTAAAAAATACGTGTGTTGTAATATGTCCATGAAGCTGTGAGCAAAAGTAGTAGCCTGACTATTTGAGTTGCAAGCCGCATTTGAGAGCGAGTCACAGGCCACGCTCTATCTCGCCACCTGAAATCATGTGGTTAGGGGGCATGAATATGTTTGAGCTCTCGCTTTGCTGTCATCTCAGTTTGAGGGTTGTTTTTGTTACAAGACACCGAGATTGACTGCATATCATGCAGAGCTCTTCTCCACCAAAGAAGCAGGCTCAGAGGAACAGGGAGGGTCTTGTGGATGTGCTGCTCTGGGAGCCTCTCTAGTGTTCGTCCTTGTTCTGTTAGATGTCTCAGATCCATGGAGCCTTAATGGGATTCCGTCCCCATGGGACTTGCAAATGCATCCCCATCTCCCTGGCCGTTGTCCTCTATGCAGATGCCTTTACCCTGTGGCGGCATACCTTCAAAGCGATACGTCAATATTTTCTCATTAGCTTATCCTCTGATTTTTTTTAAAAAGTCACTTTCTAATTTGTTCGTTATTGAAAACGTTGGCTTTTTTTTTGTGCATCAGCAGCAGTGTTGCTGTGTATGTGACAGCAAAAGTAAAAGGAACGCTGTCACTGAAGAGAGTGTTTGACCTGATGCTCGACGGACTGGGCCTGCATTTCATGCAGTACTTCTTGCATGTACTAATTGGACATATCTTCAGGTGGCCACGTGCATTTTGTGAAACGTATAAGAATTTATTTTCTGTATATTGTGGTAATTGCATTTGGCAGACAGATACCTCGCTTCTTCACATCTGTCCCTTTTTAACTTAATCATTAAGAGATGCTTATTTGCACTTTAATATTGATGTTGAAATTCCAGATGTTTTTCTGCTACTTTGCACGGTATAGTTTAGTGGTATCTAAATTGTCTCCTATCACAGTGGTGGAGTCCTCTCATTTGAGTAACTTGGAATTAAGTTAGGTGAAATGATGGGAAAGTGATGTAAGGAAGCCAGCTTGCGTCCAGAGGATGAGTGAGCTGACCGCATCTAGCTTTCCCAGTTCTATGAAATAACGTGCCTAGGCTGAGCCGGCTGCTTTGACTGTCTTTCAGAAATCTCAAGCCTGCATGTCTGGGCAACTTAAGCGTGTCTGAAAAGGCAAACTACTTGGGTAATCTGGGTAAGACTTCCACAAGTAGTTACGGCTTTTCGATGGGTGGCGTTTTCTGACATGTAGTCCCTCTTTTCCTTCTGTCACAAGAGGAGTCCTTAGAGTTGCAAACCACTTCAAAAATTGTGGCCTTGCACTCTAAGGACAACGATGTGCTGTGTAGCTGAATACATCTCATTTTTCAACAGTCTACCTCGTAGTGCAGGTCTGGATGATACTAGGTGCCTCCTGGCATAAGATTGTCTTGTGGCAAGACATTTAACTCCAAAGTTAAATATTCATGATGGTGTTTCTCTCCCCTGCAGAAGCACAGGCACGCCTTCTCCTCTTTCTCCAATGCCCTCTCCTGCCAGCTCTGTGAGTTCTCAGCCGGGATCAAATGCTAGCAACTGCGGTGGCAACAGCATTGGCTCTTCAGTCAGCGTCCCCTATAATATCCCAACCATCACCTCTTCCTATGTCAACATCACTTCCTATATCCTCTATGCGTATGATATTTGGGAACAGGCTGATGCTCTGGCCAGGAAGAATAAGGGTAAGGTTTTTCGCATTGACATCTCTGTCTTAATGTGTTGGGCTTGCATATACGTACATGCTTAAATCCTAACGCTCAGGTAAGCAAATACCAGACGTAAAGATTGAAGTCTTCAGTTGAAGTAACTAAGACATCTGTGGCATGTTGGCAGATTATTGGCAGAGGTGTTTTGTGGTGGTGTTTTGGTGAATGTTCCAATGAAAAGGTTGTCTTGGCATGCTCCTCTAAGAGCTAAGGGACAGGGGCATCAGGTGGTGGAAAGCACCACTCGCTTCCTGGTAACATGAGAAGTGTAAGGGTTATTTTATGTTTGTTTTTTCCTTTGTGGGGGGCATATGCTTTCCGAGTTGGTTCCCTTTCTTTACAAAAGCTTTGGGGTCTGTGGGCTTGTGTTTCGTTTTGTTTGTCACGCTCCCAGAGTGTTTTTGTATTGAAAGCTGTGAAGCTGGCTTCTCTCCTTAGGCCGGGTAGGTGAGCAACACTTGAATTGGAGTCCCTGCTGGGCACGTGCCAAGCATTTGCCAGTAGCGTTTCCTAGAATTGCTGCTATTTCTTTTCTTTTATGGTTTTGCTGTTAAAAATGTTGTTTTGTGGTCACGTGGTACAAACAGTGGTGAATAAGCCAAAGCCCCCAGAATGAGTGCAATTCAGACTGTTACCTGCCATCCCACCTGGAGTTATAGTGTCATTTTTCATAAAAGGTGAAGTTTTGTGGGCTACTGAAGGTGAAGGGATGTATTTCCATGACAGACTTGAAAAAGAAAATAAGTATGATGTGCCTGCCTAAACTGTTGGAAGGCTGTAAAAACACGCATGCTAATCAGGCAGCGTGGGCAGTTGCTGAAATTCAAAAAGGTTTTGCGAATCGCCTTTGAATAAAGTAACTCCATTTGTTGGCCGTCCTCTGAGCAAACCTATGGTCACAGCAGCGATTCGTGTGTAGTATTTTGGACTATATCCTCAAAAGGCTGCTTAAAGACTGACAAATGTGAGGAGCAGCATATGTTGGTGATAAGCCAGAAGGTGAATGAGTCACCAAGGAAAACCCGTGGGAGGGCAGTCTGTGAACAATCTTGCATCAATCAAGACTAAACTCAAAACCTGTTTTATGTTGTTATTTGAACGTGGGTGAACGATTGCCAGGGTACTGACTATTCCCAAAGGAGTATATCTGTGCAGGAAAACAGTAAATGCTCATGTAGGTTTTAGAGTTGTTTGGGCTGTTCAGGTTGGTGGAGGAGTTTCAGATCTGGAACTTTAAAGATATTCACTGTAACGTACAGATGCTGAAAGATATGGGGAATGAATGCATAAAACTGAAAGGCCACATCCTTGTTGCTTTTACACTATTTATAGCGTATAGGAAGAACAGAAAAGCAACAGTGGCTTTCAGCCATCAAGTTCCCTTAATCAGGGAAGTCCCAAGTCAGTGGAAAACAGTTAGTTATAATTGGTTTCTGAGTCACTTCTGTGAAGTTAAAATACTTTCTTCTGGGTCCACAAGCAGATGGTTCCAGGACAGGACCCAGCTCAACATGGTAATTCAGAATAGTGCTGTGGATTGTGACACTCTTAACAGGTTCTCTTCTCACCTCAAGTCTTCCTCAGAGAGGACGAGCTGAGGTTGTAGGTGTGAATGCGAAGTCACTCTAATTCTAAACTCTGCCGTGGTCACAGATAAAATTATCTTCTGACTGCCCTGGCTGGTATTTTTGAACCTTATATCTCTGTCTGCAGCTCCCACGAAGATCGTCTGTTCCTCGTGGACAGAATGGATACCCATTTTGTATACCAAAGCAGGAAAATCAGGGGGAAGTGGAAAGCCCTAGAGCGAAAATATTGCGCCCCTGCTTCTGAAAAGATCGTTGCACAGCCAAGTAGAAATCCTCACCTGGGTTTGTGCACAAGGTTGGAGGAACTGAGGGGCAGGGACAGGCCCATGTAACTGGAAGGCGGGTCATGTAGTAACGTCTTGGGAAGATGACTGAGAAAGAAAAAGATCTGATAATTTCATGTAGTTTGCTATAACTTGCATCGATTATTGGCAGTGCAGAGCAGGGGGTGCTTTGCTGTCTCAGCAGTCATCTGCAAGCGCTCGGCTCTGCCGCCTTGCCTGCCTAGATGCAGAAGTCCATCACCTCCCACCAGGCTTCAGTACTGCAGCAAGCATCTGCTCCCCAGGCCAGAGACGGAGCAGTTTGTTTGAAGTGGGCTGCAGGGTAGTAACACTGTTGTTAAATTTGCCTGATGTGTCCTGTTACAAGCAACCGAAAGCAGAGACTTGCAGCTTGGCCGGACCTTCTCTGAGCTGAATGAGGCATCTCATGTGGGGTGAACTCTTTTCCAAAGTTTTCACACCGGGTGGGTCAATGTTTCTTTGCATGAGATAGAGGAGGGAGTATGCTGCTTTGCCCACGTAAAACAAAACAGAAAATTGTGACCCTGTTCTGCTGAGAAGCTGTGATGGCTGCAAGGCCAGGGGGTGAAGGAGAGGGCCTCGCGTGATGACAGCCACGTGTGCTTCCAGGCATCACTCAGAAAAGCACCCAGATCTGGCTTATTTAAAATCTGTGGAAAAAATGTCTGATCACGGCCACGTGATTGAGGGTTGTCGGCTGGCAGCTGCACTGGAGTAGGCACTGTGCCTGGGCTTGCCGGCCTCCCTCCTTCCCCCGCCCCGCCAATTTTGGTAGGTCTGAGTTGAGCCCTGTAGGAAGCACGTGGCTGGGAAACCTGGATATGAACACCCAAGGGTTTGAACGCTTACCGTGAAGTCTTAGCGCTTTTTTAATGCAAGCAGGTTCAATTTGCATGCGCGTGAGGCGGTTTTTCTCGTACGCGCTGTGTCTTGGGTGCTTGTTACGCTTCTCGGCCTTCTAGTATTGATGCTCCTTCACATTAACAACGTGTTTAATCAGACTTCCTCCCTGGAAAGTATGTTGCTGTTGTTGCTCTGTGTTGCACTTCTGTCTTTCAGGATGTGCCTGCTGTGTAAAAAAACCAACCAAATGTTTTCTTTCTCCCTCCCCTTTTTCCAGAATTTTTTGCTGAACTCAGCACAGCGGTGTGCACTCTGGCACTGAACAGTAGCATGACTGAACTGGTACACTACACTAGACAGGGTTTACAGTGGCTGAGACTGGAAACAAATACGCCTTAACTGGTGCTCAAGGTGGTGAAATGCCTTGAACTCTTTTGCACTTTGGAAGCCTCAGAAACAGTCTGGCTTGCTGAATCATTGGATACAAAGCACCTGCAAGGGAAAATAAAGATGGAAGGGATCTGGTTACACTGGAAAAAAATTGAACTGAGTTTTTAGGGTAGCACTTTGCTGCCTTGAAAAAGAAGAGATGGAGGAAGGCCTCAGAGGCGATGATGCCTTCCTTTAAAATGACGAAGTGCAATGAATTGTCTGAGTGGCTCAATGTATTGATGGTCTATAAACATTTCTCTTACGAATAACCAGCAGGACAATAATCACACATGAAGAAGTGCCGACAAGAAGGAAATCTGCCTCCAGAAGTTATTATGCAACGTCCCACAGTCTGCAACGGTTGTGTGCCCAGAAGAAATTTCAGAGAAGTGTTTTTGCAAACACAGATGCAATCCATGACGTTGGTTCTTTGTTTCTCAGATGACAGAGCAGGGGGAGGACGAATCCTCATCAGCACCGAACAGCATTACGTTAAAATAAAGACGGCAGAGCGGTCTGCCTTGCCTGCTTCCCAACCTCACCCTCTTGCATTTATCAGCCAGCTGCTCTACTGAGAATCGGGTGAAACCACTGCCTTCAGTGCTGCAAGTTCACTTCTTAAATCATCGTTGCTTTGGTTTTCTTCCTTGCCACGCACTCGTGCACGCACACGCCCTTAACACTCGAACGATTTCACTTGTGGTCTTGCTTAGTTTAAGCCTTGTAAGCCAAACGCAGTTGGGGTGGAGGAATTACGAGGTGAGGTTAGGGAAAGCTCCGTGTCCCTTCTGTGGTGGAGGGACATCACTCCCACTGAGGGCTGACTCCTCGTCTGATTGCTCTTTGCAGTTTTTTGGGGGGGGGGAGGGGGGGGGTGGAGGACAGCCATGTGGGGTCACTGTGATGGTTTGGATATGATTCTGAGTCTTAGAGCTTAAACTGGGGGGAAATGCTTCTGTCTAAGGTGGGACTGAGTTGCTGAATGTGGAACACGAGACAAATTTTGCCTTTGGATGTTTGCCCACAACCATCACTGGTCTGGGTGAATATCCGAGAGCAGGATTTGGTGTTAAAATAGTGCATCCTTCATGTGGGAGATAACTCGCGTGCTCTTTCTCAGCCGCGCTATGGGTTGGGCCCAGCGCCTTAGGAATCTGTCTTCAAGGGAACGTGGAAGGGGATCGTTAGCTGTTTGCGAGCATTTCTTCCTTGTCAGGAGCTGCGTTTTTGAAATGGTGGTTTTGCAGATGGCAATAACAGTGAGGAACGTATCCACAGCATTCTTGTGTTCAGTGAGATGGCACCCTTCTTCACCCAAAGATTTCCTGTTGCATTGCAGCAGCCTTCTGCCATCCTCATATCTAATAGTGTGCCTTAGCTCTCTGGTCCCCTCGTGCATCCTGCACCCCATTTCTGACAGACCGGTGGGAGTGGTGAAGAGAAGGGTGGCGTCACAAAATAATTGTGCTTACGGGAAAGAAAATGTTTCCAATGAATTAGCTCCTTTTTCCGCGTAGTTTCAGGATGAAGGAACCTGTGTGCTGCAGTACAGCCACACCGCCCCTTTGTGAAACGTTTGGTCGCAGCTTTAAGGCTCATGAAAATTGATAGCAGATACCACCAAAAGGTCTGAATTTCCAAAAGTTGTTTCCGTAGAAGTGGCTCCTGCCTCTGGGAAGGCTTCGCTGGCGGGAGCGCGCCGGGCGGGAGAGCCTCGCCGGAGCTCGGGAGCCCCAGCGCTTCCCGCAGCGTCGGCACGGGGAGCTCCCTCCTCTCGGCTCCCCTGGGCCTTCAGGATCCCGGGTGTGTCTTCACAAAGGAACTGTCCTTTTATGTTCACTTTATTAAAAGCCTTAGTGCATTTCAGGGATAAGCTATCCTAAGCAGTGGAAGGAAAGTCCACATTTCGCCCCCAGTTTTACATATGAAACTTCACACACGCGCCTCCTCTCGGGAGGAGCAACTGCTTTGAGTAAACGCGTGGCCAGAGGTTCTGTATTGACTGTTTTATTCTCAGGAAGTGTGGCAACGGCAAACGAAGCTGAAGTTTCGATGTGCACTTTGGAGCCGCTGTTCTGACTGTAATGAGCTGGATTACAGACCAGCGGATCGGTATCTTCTTCTGACTTTGTCTTTAAATAAGGCTAGTTTTAGGATCGTCAGCTGAGGAGGAAAGAAGGTAGAAAGCTTTATTGAACTTGAAAATCAGTATGGGAGTCTGCAGGAAACGCAGCAGAGTGCTAGGGGTACATGTAAGGTGACACAGGGACCCAGATCCTCCGGGTGCTTCCGTTTGGCATCTGCCCGTTTGCCTCCCTGCTGCCAGGTCCAGTTCCTCGCTGCTCAGCCGCTGCCGGCCCGTCGGACCCACCTCGGCGAGGTGCCCTCGCTCCAGGGCTGCCTGCTGGC